TCTTGAAATTCCACAAGAATATAAAAAAAGAACAAAACTATTTCTTTTTTGATTTTGTTTGTTGTTCTTAAAACATAAAGACCGTTACTTATTAAATTCGCCATTATGATAATGTACCGTTCTATTGTTTTGTTTTAAACACTACCTCTACAAAATGGCTTTTCTCCAGATTTCCACCTCCAAACGCCTTCTGATTGGCCATTGTCCTCACACGTGATCAGATCTGTGCCGTTAAGTGGTAGGTTAAGGATACAAGAAAGCTGACAAGACGCACCGTAAACATATCCAGACTTTGGTGTAGAACAGTTGAATCTCATGAAGTCATCAGTAAAGCTTTCTAACGGGTGCCCGCAAGTTATTTCTGTAACATTGAGAGTTAAATTCTAAATAATAAGCGGAACTTTTGAACATTTAATTTCAAACATAAAAACATATGAAAGTCAATCATGAAAATAAAGTGCTTCGAATTGCATTTCATTACTAATCATATTAAATCATATCAATAATTTTATTAACTATTGGCACAATATCAGTAAAGAAGTAAACCTTAAATTTTGTTAAAGATATATCAATAAATTATTGTTGTTGTTATTATTATCACCATCACCATCACCAAAACAACCACCTCCACCACCACCACCACCACCACCACCACCATCATCATCATCATCATCATCATCATCATTATTATTATCATTATCATTATCATTATCATTATTATCATTATCATTATCATTATTATTATTATTATTATCAAATAAGTAATTAATTTATCAAACGATTATTTAACATCATCGTGTAAGCTCGAGATCACGTGTCAACATAGTTTATAAAATACCTTCGATACGGAGCTGGATAAAGCATTCTTGAGATTCTCTTCCATTTACATTAACTGCCTTATATTTTACTATTTTAGTTCCAACCTCCAGAAGTGATCCCATTGTTGGACCGTATGTTTGTACAATGGACGGATTGTCGTCTGCAATGTCAGACGCTGTAGGAAGTGTCCAGTTTGTTTTTGTTGTTGTTACACCTCGGTCAGCATAAAATATCTGCGGAGTTACACAGGAGATGGTCGGCGGAGTGCCATCTAAAGTAAATTATAAACACAATATTCAGTAAATATGCATAACGAATTCTTTTCTTAAATGAATTATGAAAATCTTATTCTTTTTATAACAATGAAAAAGAAAAATGTGTATATTTTTATGCCACCTTACCAACGCATGATGAGGTTTCATAGTTAGACCATTTTCCGTCTGCCTGGCACTGAATATGTGTGGCCCCTTTCAACGTGTATCCGCTATCACAATTAAATAAACAAATTGATTGGTAGCCGTAGAAAGGGTCCGAACAAGTGACTGTAGAATGTGATGGGTATTTCGGTTCACTGCATATCATTTCTATAAAAAACAAAACAAATAAGTACCTACATATTATAGTATAAACTGCATTCTGTTCCACATGGTAACAAGGGCACAATATCGCAATATACGCCCAGCACAGAAGCTTTTGAAAGAGATGTGGGCATTACAGATATGCATATATGAGATGTGCTCTTGGCAATATCTAGAAAATATCTGGATATATACTTATCTCTAGTGATTTTTTTTTATCTGAATTTTGACCCCTATGTGTGACCTTGACCTTAGCAGCAGGGACCTAAATTTTGTGTGCGACACTCCGCCTCACAATAGTGAACATTTGTGCCAAGTTATATTGAAATCCCTCTAGGCATGTAGAAGATTTGCTCCAGACAAGCTTTTTTCAATGACCTCTAAGTGTAACCTTGACCTTTGACCTAGAGGCCTACTTCATGCGTACCACACGACTTCTCACACTGGTAAATATCTCTATGAAGTTTCATCAGAATCCCTTGATATGTGTAGGAGATATGTTCTGGACAAATTCTCTATATTATATCTTCTTTAGTGACCTTGGCAATCATCTTTTGTGACCTTGACCTTGAATATGTTAATCTAAATAACATGTTTTTCACCAGTAGTCATGATAATGACCATTTGTTTTTTAATCCCTCAATAAATGATAACTTAATTGTCCCGATACACATTTTCATATTTTTATCTGAACTTTGACCCCTAAGTGTGACCTTGACCTTTGCCGCAGCGACATAAATTTTGAACGCGACACTCCGTCTCACAATAGTGAACATTTGTGCCAAGTTATTTTGAAATCCCTTTATGCTTGTAGAAGTTTTGCTCCGGACAAGTGTTTTTCAATGACCTCTTAGTATAACCTTAACCTTTGACCTAGAGGCCCTGTTCATGCGCGCGACACAGCTTCTCATAGTGGTGAACATTTCTATAAAGTTTTATTAAAATTCCTCAGGGTGAGCTTTTAGGATCGTTGGATGTCCGTCGTTCGTCGTTGGTCCACATTTGTTCATTAACACTCTAGTGGTCACATTTTTGACTAATTCATTATCAAACTTTGCCAGGATGTTTGTCTATGTAATTGCTCGGATTAGTTCTTTCATGGGTCATCTCGGGTGAAAAACTAGGTCACAGCAGCTAAAAATAGATACATGTTGTTAACACTCTACTATATTGGTATAATTATACTGGTAATTGGCCTGAAAGTTTGTTTTGATGATTTCTATGTCAAGTGGAAATATGGGTTACCTGGAGTCAAAAACTAGGTCACAGCGCCAAATATGGAAAAACCTTGATAACACTCTAATGGTCACATTTTTACTCAATCGTCATCAAACATGGTCAGGATGCTTGTCTAGTTAATTGCTCGTAGGAGTTTGAACATGGGTCATCCCTGATGAAAAACAAGGCCACAGGAGCTAAAATAGGAAAGTCTTGTTAACATTCTAGTGGCTACTGTATTGATACATTTCCTGGAAATTGGTCTGCATGTTTGTTTGGCTGATTTCTAGGTCAAGTTCGAATAAGGGTCACCTGGGGTCAAACACTAGGTCACACTGCCAAAATATAGAAAATATGGAATCTGATATTCAAGAAATACTCTTTGAAATCGTTGTAATAGTTTATGCTTTTAAATGAAAGTCTGGGTTTTTATTTAGTGATATAAAACCCATATTACTCAGAATATATCACTAATACTGTTGTTAACATAGCTTTGCCGATTTTTTTTGGCCTTAGTATTAATTTATGATTCCATAAATTTCCTTATAAATGTATTGTATTTTCTCGATTCAATGACAATTACTGCACTAATGTTTTTTTCCACCGCAATGATGATTTTATTCCGCATTTAAACTCAATTTTTAAGGAACAACTGCGCTGAAAAAACTTTTTCAGGTAACCTTGAACCCTAAAGACACTCAATCAATCGTATTTTAAGTCTATAGGAAATTTATAAGTTGGTTAATCTAATTTAATCTGTTCTAACGACACTTTATATACTGTCCTTGCAACAAGGAACACTTTCAGGCCTTTATTACTTAAAGTAATTAAGCAATAATCACATTTATACTTTCGACTGTTATTTGATTTCCTAAGTCAAGATGTTTTACAAGTATTTCTCGTTATCCATCTATATTTAGTAACATATAGGGGCTAATAAACATTATGTAAATCAGAATAAACATTTATGCAAATAAAATAAGGAAGATATAACATCACGTGGGTATCATTCTTTATCTTAACGGACACTTATTGACAAGAGTTTATAATTAAGAGACAATTTTCTGTTTAGTGGATGTGTGTAAGACACTTGAAGTTGTTGAAATCCCGTCCTGCTTTATATGAAATTAAAGAGGAAAACACTCTTGTTTTATAATAATAATTATTGTTGTTAAACTCGTTTATTGGAAAATCTAGTTTTGGTCATAAGTTACTTTGAGAATATGACATCTAAAAATGTTCAAAGAAGCGGGAAATGGATGATAATCAGTTAAAAGTAAATAAAAATTGAGTGATTCATCCTAAATTGGCTACTTTCAGTAAAAGTTAAATTCAAGCTACGACTTGAATGACCCCCTTAAAATATAATATTGAGAGAAAGAAATCATTTGAGCCGCGTCATTGCAAAACCAACAAACTGGGTTTGCGACCAGAATGGATCCAGACCAGCCTGCGCATCCGCGCAGTCTGATCAGGATCCATACTGTTCGCTATCAGTTTCTCTACTTGTAATAGGGTTTGTAAGCGAACAGCATGAATCCTGATCAGACTGCGCGGATGCGCAGGCTGGTCTGGATCCATGCTGGTCGCAAACGCACTATGTTGGTTTTGTCGTGACACGGCTCATTTAATGTAATGTCATAATTTCTTTAAAATTTCATCTTTAAACATAATGTTTTGATATCGTTAAAGCAGCATGCCTCAAGATTCATGCTTATTTTCATCGCGATTCTATATTTATTTTCCGTTATGACACTCAAATAATTTTCTAACTCGAATTTATGTTTGAATGTACAATAGTATTTTTAACGACTAGTGTTATTTACGTCGGAGTACCAAGATTGTAGATATATATTGAAAAGCCGTTGTTTCATCGTGTTAAAAGGAACGTCAATTTCGAATTGTTCATTCCATATATACATTTGCCCGATCTGAGTCAGTAATGTTTTAATGTGGGAAGCCCAGTTATTATTTCGGTACGTATAACCCCGGTCTGTTTCGGATTTTAAAAATAAATACGTTTTCTTTATTAAAGATGAATCATTTTGTTTCAACATTTTTCTCGAATAATTGATCATAATTATTTGTCTGTTTAAATGAAGTGGAAATCGCCCTAGTTCACCATATAATGCCGTTAAATTAGTCGACCTTTTTACACAGAGTACTTGTCTCAGAAACGTATTGTGTATAAGTTCGATATCAGCTGCCTTAAGCATTCCCCATATTTCTGAGCCATAATTTAGTATGGAACCAACCAGTCAAACAATTTACATTTCTGTGCGGCCGTTATTTCATGACATTCAGCCCATTTTGTCAGTCGGTTCAATATAATTTGAGAGTAGATTTTGGCTAAGATATTTATGAGGGTAATTCCTCGATAATTTTGTGGATCGTTTACATCACCTTTTTTCGGACACTTTTATTTTATTCACTGTTTGAATAATTTTATCTATTGTTTTCATTTTGTCCCTGATTTGCTTCATTTCCTCTCTGGTTCGTTTCATATCATCTAAAAGTTCAACAGCCCATGTCTTGGAAATAAGATGCTTATTAAATGTGTTCAAAAAGTGATATCACATTTCTTTATTTATTTCTGCAAACATAAATGCTGGTATTTCTGTGCACATTCATTACCTGAGTATGTAATGAAAGCCTGGCGACTTTCCCCAATCTTGATTTTTTCCCACGGTCTCATTTATGACATAATCTACATTTTGGGCCAGTTACACAGACGGTCGGTCCCATATCGGTCATTTAATTTTAAATTTACTCGCTGTTATGATCGGTTGTCAAGCGTGATTTTATTTCTTGTTTTCTGTGTAAACGGCTATCGGTGACAGAAAGCAAACTCAAACGGGGTTAGATCGGTCATAAAAATGCTGAAATACTATCGGTTGTTATCGTTTGTAAATCGGAGATAAATCGGGCGTAACGCTGATTAATCGGTGTTTGATAGCTAGTCATCAGTGGTTAAACACTTTCGTCAGATATGGCCGGTGATTCATATTTGGTTATCTTTGTCCGATCGGCGATATCGGTGATTAAGAGCTTGAATATCTCGTGATATAGGTTTCTGTCGGTTATTTGTAAAATATTTTCACCGATCGAGAAATTTAAACATGTTTTTCACCGATAAAACTTATTTTTCCCCAATAGCAGTTGATAGGTGGAAAACATGTGGCCGATAGGTGATATCGGTGTTAAATACGTTGTCATCGGTTCACTCCATAATTTGGCTAAAAAAACTACCGATCAATCACCGATGGCTCTGTGTAACTGGGGTGTTACGTTACAGCCGCGCTAACGATAGTGCTTCGGCGTCGGACGCACGAGGTAATAAATCTTAGTACGAAAAAAAACCCGAACGAATCGATCTATCGAACATATAAATAAATAAATAAATAAATAAATAAATAAAATAAATAAAATAAATAAATAAATAAATAAATAAATAAATAAATAAATAAATAAATAAATAAATAAATAAAATTTGTAGATGCTGGATTTGCAAGTTATAAGCGTTTACTATCTATAACTTCATTCTGGGAACTTAAAATGTGCATCTTTCTGTCCTAGCTTCATTAGAAGAAAATTTGCAATAGAAGATAAAATGAAAACAAGCTTTAAAACTGGCTTTACGGTGGGAATTTTAATTAAATATTATTTTGTACGGCTTTGCACGTGTGTAGTAATTTTGTTTATGGAACTGTCCGGTTTTCAACTGAACCGGAACAAGTTTAGTGTTGAGAACCTTGACAAGGACAAAGTATTTGTATAGGTCTATTTGTGCAACAAGTTGTTACATGTAGTTAAGATGGCTTACAATTGACACGGTACTCTTGAACAATAAAAATGTAAACTTTGATGGTACTAAGATACATGTATATGGAGTATATGTCAATTCCGTTTAAACACGTAGCATTTTAATTAATGACGTCGTCACTATCGTGATATTAAACGACGTCACTAATAATGTTCAAAAGCGGTATAAATCAAGTATTCTTTGTCCAATGATAATAAAAAATAATAAATTTTGTCTTGAATGATTTAGAAATAGATTGCATTTTTTGAGAATCTTTGAAAAAAGTAAAATGTCAAATTTGATCGCTATTTCGGAGAAGTCATGACACGGCTCATATAATGTCCAGAAATATATTTCTTTAATAAACCGTTATTTTATTATTATAATTCCAAGCGTCAAATTTCTTCTTAATTTTTTAAAAAAGCAAATATTTCCTTACTTTGTAGTAATGCCGTATCTATTTGAATTTACACTTTGCATGCCTACGGCAAGAAGTTCAACGATTTAAACAGACGCTACTCAAAAATGAAGTCACGTGAAAATATATGCACGGTTGTCAATACCGTTTTTACGGCGTTGCAAAAGCGGCACGGGTATGTGGCAAACGCAAATAAGGTCGATTTCTGCGAAATAGACTGTCTAGGCTCTCATTTGGCGATAAAGGAGTGCGAAGACAAAACATTTAACTCCGTCCCTTCTTTTAATTGTTTAAAATTAAAAGAAGGGATGGAGTTAAATGTTTTGTCTTTGCACTCCTTTATCGTCAAATGAGAGCAAAGACAAAACATTTAACTCCATCCCATTTCTATTAATTGTTTTTTTTTCTCACCAGTGTCTATTAAATCGTATGCCAAAAAGAAGAAACGCAGAATAAAATTCCCTCTCCCATCTACTTACTGTCACAAGTTGGGATTGCAGACCATGATGGCGACTCAGCGTTTTCACACGTTATTGTACTAGGTCCGGTCAATTTATACCCATTGTTGCATGTATAGTTACACGTGCTTCCAAGAATATTCCTATTGTCACATTTTATGGTGCCATTATTAGCAGACCATGGTAGGAGATTACAAGTCAGTACTGGCAATAAAAGAAAGATTCAAACATTATGGTATATGTAGTTCGTCTTACTCTTCTCTTTTACAATCGCTGGATCGGTTTGAGGTAAACAGCAATTAAACACTACATACATTTAACTGTTAATGAAATCTGAAGTTATTCTGAGACAAAACAACACGATAAATATCTTACATTTTCTTGCTTAAAGACTGTTCCGAACTTCAAATTTTAAGGACAATCCCTTATAGTCTGTAAACTCGTATAATCCAAACCTTTTTCATTTTATTCAGAATTTAGTTCGATTGTAAAGAAAAGTATATGCTTACAGACACAGTCTCAAAATTGCTCGGAAATCAATCAGTACTAAGCAATAGAAGTAGTTCATTACCTTAATGAAACAACGGATTGCCTCAGTGAGAACCATCTTTGCTTCCTATGAGTTTGTATTAGACAGGTTCAACATTATTATACAATTATAAATAGATCACAAATAGAGCTGGCGTTAAGCAGAAAGAATATCCATGAGCGATACCAATGCATGGCGGATACCATTCGGAAGGAAGGTCTACAATAGCTGATGCAACGTCTTTGAAAATGATCAAAGCACCCTTTCATTCTAACAAACTGTAAGTTAGCAAAAAATGTTTGAAAAAAAAAAGAACATTACATTATGCACAAAGAATTTTGTACATGGTTGCCAAAAACTGCTGATTTTATGGTATCAATAGAAAAAAAACTAACAATGTATTTCTTGTCATTTTGGTACTTACTTGTGACCGAGAATGAAAAGTAACAGTATGCCGACAGGCCGTCTGAATTTGTAGCTTGATATTTGATACGATGATTCTTTCCATAAGTAGTTCCAAGAAACCGACCACCATTTGTACCACCCTCAACTTGTATCACTCTGAAATATAAAAATTTTTACAATTCAATTTTCAAATAGCAACCGATGTTGCATTTTGCGCATGCGCATTCTGCGTAGGGAAAAAAGCGCAATAACGATAGACTACGTTTAAGCGTACTTGAAGGCTTTAAAAGACTTGATTATAAGTTACATTTCCCAGAAAACAGAATTTGTGTGATGAATTAAAGCGGTAAGTACTTAAAACGTGAATTTATATTTATAACAGATATACAAAGTAAGCGGGACTAATACATTGTAATAATTCAATGACCAAAAGTCCTGTTCAAGGTATCATACAATGACTTTTTCATCAATAATTTAAATTGAAACAGCAGGGTGTTAAATATACAATTTTATAACCCATTTATAACATAAAATTACACAATCTGTATTCCTTTGAAAGTGGATAGGCAAGGCGGCAAGTGTCAAACGGATTGACACGTGATCGAGTGACCGCTTAATTGTTATTTGCCAGCTATAGTTTTCAGTATCATTCAACCTTGTCGTTTTAGTACCATGTCATAGTTAATCACAAAAAATTATGAAATTATCGTAATTTAAGTTACTTTTTAAGTTTATACCATCAATGTTTATTAATTTTGTGAAGTGACAATTAAATAGTGTACGTGACGTGCATTTTAATGTTTTACGAGAAACCGGATAAAATGTGTGTTATTTCATAACTCATCTTAACCTTTTAAGAGTTTGAAACATTATTTAAATATATCTATGTGTCTTAAAAAGTTTCTACTTGGCATCACAGTCAAGTCGGATAAAGGATAATATTAGGTAAGCTGAAAACAAAAAATGCATTAATTACCACGTGTTTCGACTTATTTTCAGAATAATAATAAACCTCTATTTTATATGTTATAAAATTTCTTTAGGTTTAGGTAAGAACAATTTCAACAACAATTAAATTGACTTCTTTATTTGATAATATTTCGACATTTTTACAACAATTATCTCATTGTCATGTCCGTGACCATAAGGGGGAATTCTTAAACACTAGTCTTTTCCGTGCCTTTTTGTGTCAATTTTGACCTAAAACTAACTCGGATAATCTATGAACTTCTACTACATTTCTATGTAGGGCAACGCTTTTTTTGCCATACGCAGATTACGCATGCGCGAAAAATTCTACTTCCGGTCAATTTTTCATAGTAACGGATTTTTCATTTACCGTTGATTTTAATTTTTACAATAGTGTATAAAAGGTATATAAGACATATATATATATATATATATATATATATATGAAAGAAAGAAAGAAAGACATGGTCGAGAAATAATACATAGAAAAATCGCACGAAAAATCGGCACGCCGCAGCCGGGACTCGAACCACGGGTCTCTAGATTGCCGGTCCAATATGCTAACCACTACACCACAGCGGCCGTTGCATTTTCATCGTGCTAATTGGCATTATATATTTAAGTTATTTTTAACTTTATTGTGACGTCATCACTTTTATTACCATAGCGGCGAGCTATTTATAGCTTCTTTTACCGCAGTTGGCTGACTTTTTACTTTTTCTAAAAACAAACAAAGAAATGTTTGAACAAGTCTTAACAATTCCTTCGGTCTGTCTTGTCACATTAGTTTTGTCTATATATTTTGAATATATGCATTCATTATATACTCATATATATATATTTAATTGTTACACTTAAATACATCCGTTATAATTATATAATACACAAACATATATATAATTTACGTCCTTTTCAAGTCATCGGAATAAAACAAGTATCTGTTATATCGCTATACATGCAATACCACGATAAAAATCCAGGAAATTAACTAAATGTATGAGGATGACAATTTTCAAACGTAAAAAGAAGGAAAATCATTTTTTTAAATTGCTGGAAAAGCAAGTCATAAAAATAGTGAAATGTAAACAAACTAGTATTTTGACTTTCATACAAAATACTAAATCAAAACAACTATACTAATTTCAAAAAAGGGTAACAGGGGATGTTCAGGTAAATGGCTAATGTGTAAATTTTGTGTAAACTATTACAGAACACCAATTAGAAATCAAACTAGAAATGTGTCCATTGGACACGGGCGCCCCACCGCGCCACTATTCTGTCAATCTTATGACTCTAGGTCAAATATTTTTTGAAAACTAAAAATCTTTTACTAAGTAAAGGACAAGAACTTTACAAATACTCTTGTAAACTATCAGGCCTACAAGTGAAATACTTTTTGAGCTATGCATGAACAAGTTGAAAATTGCAAATTTATACTACTGTAAGTCAAGGGCAATAACTATAACAAAACTGAAAAAAATCCACATGCAATGTCCCAGGTGCCTAGCTTCACAGTGATGTGAATCATTATTCCTGTAATTTAGTGATGTTGATCATTATTCCTGTAAAGTTGGTTGATTCTAACTCAAGCACTCAAGTAACAAATAACAACATAATGAAACGGTTTTTACTAAGTCAAGCGAAATAAGTCTAAAAATACTGGATAAATCTACAAGCGAAACCCCAGGTGCAAAACTAAATATGCTGAGCAACCTTCCCGTAAGGTTTAATGACTCTATGTCAAATCCTTTTTGAGTTACATGCGACACAAGTTGAAAATGGCAAAATTTTACTTAGTCAATGGCAATACATGTAACTCTAAAAATACTAATACTATCCAGACGTAAATATCCAGGTGCACAACAAAACATGCTGATCAACATTCCTGTAAAGTTTCGTGACTCTTGGTCAAATACTTTTTGAGTTACATGCGACACAAGTTGAAAATTAATAAATTTTACTAAGTCAAGGGCAATAACTCTAAACATACCAAAAATATCCAGACAAAAATACCCAGGTGCACAACTACACATGCTGTTCAACATTCCTGTAATGTTTCATGACTCTAGGTCAAATACTTTTGGAGTTACGTGCGACACAAAAGATAACGGACGGACGGACGGAAGGACGGACAGACGGACAAGGGTAAATCTAAATGCCCGCCACTAAAGTGGGGGCACAGTAAAAGTGTTTGTATAGCATAATGGGTCTTTAAACATATAATTATAAACAAAAGTTATGAGAACATAACATTCTATTGTTACCTACCTTGGAGTACCTCCTTTTCTATCCGTGGCCGACGGTACTGTCCAATTAACAACGACACTGTTCTCACCAACATCAACATTATAATTATTCTTGATTTCCTTTGGTGTGCATGGTCTAGGAAAAGAAGGCCAGCTCTGGGTAGCTTTGCGGAATTCGTCTCCACCTGTTTGATATTCACATTCAAACTATAAAAACTTTCGACTTTTTGCTGAATCAACACCGACCTTAAACGTGTTTCGATTTATTCATTCTTTGTTAAGTTTTACATGAAGTCTTAATGTTTGACCTTTAATGAGTTAAACAGCAATGTTTAAATTATCAGCTATAGAAATGTTTGTGTCAATAACGGTGCATTTTTTAAATCACCACACTATTCTTAACTCAGAATAAACACTGGTTAGGGACTACATATTTATGCGTTTTTTGTTTGTTTAGTTGTTTTGTACGTTTTGTTTGTTTGTTTGTTCCCCCCCCCTCCAAAAAGATGTTTAATAAAACCTTTAAATGCATATTTATTGAAGTTTTCCGCTCATATTATGCTTATAATGCGAACACTACATTTATATTTTTTCTATATCAGTTCATGAAAAATTATTTAAAATAAATCTACGCAAATTAGTAAGCAGAGCAAAGACGTCATCATAAGTATGCAACTTATTCATAAAAGCGACAGAAATTTAGCATCATATATGAAAAGAAAACATAATAAGAACGGAAAATAGTAATAACAAGAGCTGTCGGAGGACAGCGACGCTCGACTATTCGAAAAAGTTGTCACAAAGATGTTTCATTGAGTATAATAATGCTTACATACATGATGCACGCGAAAGCGAAAGTAGAAAAAAATAATGCTCAACCGTGTCGGATTTCTCAATTTGTTCTGTCCCGGTTATAACGAGATCCGGTTATAACGAGGAATCATCCGAAGTCCCGACGATCTCGTTGTATCCGGAGTGCACTGTATATGAATACATAAAATTGTCCGAAAAGATTCAAAGGCTTGTTACGAAAATGTTTTATCGAGTAAATCACTGTTTGATTATTATGAATGCATAAAATTGTCCCCCAAAAAGTGCACAAACCCTTCAGTAGTTATGGAGATACCAGCTTACTCGCAAAAACTTAACCAAGAATTTCTCAGTCGAAAAGGGGGCATAATAATGCAAAAAGCAAATTAGAGTTATGGGACTAGTGTCAATCATGTTAGGTAATCACAGAGAACAAGTTTGTGAAGTTTCAATCATTCCTTTCAGTAGTTATGGAGATACCAGCTTACACGCAAAAACTTAACCACAGGGACGCCGACATATTGGTGACTGCATTTTCTCGATTATTTTGCGAATAGTCAAGATAAAATGCACTATATTTCTTGCCTGAAAGAAAAAATGCACTAAAATTGTTGCCTGAAAGATTACATCCCGACAGAGCCCTGGCAGAACCCCGATAGACATCCGGGGTGATCAGGGAACGACCGGGCTACGAGCGGGAACGACAGGGTACGAGCGAGAACAACCGGGGTAAATCCGTAACTCTGCCGGCAACGTCCGGGATGATCCGGAACATCCGGCATTCGACCCCGGATGGAATAGAATATTTAATATCACCGGGGTAGTCCGTGGTGAACCGGAAATGTATAGCTTTGCCGGCTTCATCCTTAGCTTTGTTGGGAACGACCGGGGTTACACAGGAGAAACACCATAGCTCTTCCAACACAAATTGGGGATGATCCAGGGTATTATATAGCCAACAGAGCTACGGTAGAGCCCCGGGGAATGCAGGCAGAGCCCCGGAGAATGCCAGCAGAGCCCCAGAGGATGACAATGGAGCTACGATTGATCCCGGTAGAGCCACGGCAAAGCCCGGTTCATTTAAAAAGAATAACGGCAATTTGCGATGATTGTACTTTTATGCATTAAAACCCTTCCCCATTTCCCTTCTGTCCAGTCTTGAATAAGTCTTATTCAAAAACCCTCATGAATAACTTATTAAATAGGAGAAAATATCATCTTAAATTATATTAAATGAAAATTGCGTATCAACGTCATCATTTTCGCACGTTTCAATCCGTCGGGGCTCTACCGGGATCGTCCTGGGCTCTGTCGGGGCTCTACCTGGATCGATAGGGGCTCTGTCTGAGTCAACCAGGGCTCTGCCGGCGTCATCCGGAAACGACCGGGAAAGCACCGACATGAACCGTAGCTTCACATGATCTCTGCCTGAATGGGCCGGCGTGTTAGTTGGGAATAACCATACTGCTGCCGGGGAAAGTGTGGCCACAATAATTTCAACTCGGATCGTTCCCAATCATCCTAGTAATTTACCGGGGTGATCCTGATCTCTGCCGGGGTAAGAGAGATCGCAGCTTTATCCCTGTTATCGGACGGAGAACAAAGAACAGCCGCTAAAACATATAGTCCCTAACAGTTTAACACCGTTCTCTATTCTTCTTTGTGTACATAGACAGTCAGAATTTTGTTCAACTCGTTCTATTTACATTTACAAGAAAAGCATTGATGCAAAGCATCAGAGGGCGTCCAAGCAAGAAATGCAGCGAGTGAAGTTGAACTAGTAGACAAACCGGAGAGACCTACGGAAAAGACAATGTCAAAATGATAATACTTTTTGCATTTCATTTCCTGTTAAATCATCCAGTTCGTTATTTATTACCATGGTGCGACACAAATGACCGTTTCGTTAAACTAAAACTACTTCTACAAATAGATTTTCGGACTTTCACAATGTTAAGGTCATCATTCTATTTATAGTTACAGCAGGAACATACAAAATAACCCACATGATTAATAAAAAAACCGAAGAGCGCAATCAATTGACGGATAAGATAATTTTATTTGAATATATTTGCATTGCGAAATTCTTCAGTTCGCTATTCATTGTACATATCTCGGACTTTCATTTTTGATAATCAAACACCCTCATACAATCATACAATCGGAATGATCGGCTATTATGACAGACAAAAAGGCCCGAGAAGTTGCAATTGCCATTTCATAAAATCTGATTTCATTCCATAAGGGGCGTCGCGCTTCGGCGCGGACGCCAAATATTATACTCCTGTGTCGTGATTTACGTGTTAATACTGAATCCTTTATGTCCATCTACTTTGTACATATACTAGGAAAACTCTAGGTCATGGAAAAGCTGTTAACTTTTGTTTTATTATTCGGGGTGTTCTTTTGTGATATACATTAAACACTTTGACCTTCGTTTGGTTTGTTTCTGTTTTTTGTTGTTGTTTATTTCCATTTGGTTCGTTACATTTTATGTCACACCGAGTAACATAGTAAAGGTTATAAATAGGGCGACTTTCCGGCTTTACTGCATCGTGGATAAAAAATATCGGATCCCCATTCGTGCATTACTTTTCGCACAATCGGACACGTAGGTGACTCTGTAGGAGCACAATTATCTCTCAGCACATTTGTCACACGAGGTGTGACCAATGTGCTCGTAAACATTCATATTTGAGACAAATTGGAAATGGGACAGATGTGTTCGACACACAAAAGAAAGGACACTCGAAGCACATTTGTCTAACATTCTTCCATAAAATTCTACTTAAAAAGAAAACTCTTCGCATGAATAATTTGACACCCCGAGTGAGTGCCGAACCTACAGCGCGGTTAGGGGCAAGTGGTTTTCTGAAATCACTCGGCAACGGAGGCCCGTATATAATCTAAGGAAGAACTAAGAAGACCGCACGTGCATGTATTTTTGTTTCATCAGAAGTATAAATATATCACCATTTGCTTTCAGATTTACCATTGAAAAAGCATTTACGTACAGCGTGCATGAGTTTCTTACAGAATCCGTGTAATGACATACTGTATCAATGGAATGTCGGGCCTTGCAGAATCGGGCGAGACACGACATTCCGACGAGACACGAAGCGAGGCACAATATTGTAACACGAGATCTCGCAATGACGAAGTATACCGTACCACGAGAATTCACGGTAGAATATAGTGCCTCGCTTTATGTTTTGCCGGAATTACTCTTTCCTTGTCTCCCGTTAAAATTTGCGCATCGATACGTGTCTGTGCTTGTCAAAGGCCTCACTATGGTTAAGGAACCAGCGCAGGAGCCATATGGTATTGTCGCAAAATAGAGGACAGATGGCGGACAGGCTAATGGACAGTATTTTTTTCACTTTGCGTCTAAATTTAAGCTGTTTTCTTTATAAATGTCATCATGGATATGTTTTTGACATTTTGCTGGAAAAAAGCGAGCAAAGGTTGTACTTGATAAAGCGAATTTTCAATTTAAGTAGTGGTGGTTCTTCTAATCTTCCACGTCACAGCAGTGTGCTTTTTTAAGTGATTTTACAATAGCAAAGCAAATGGAACGCTAGAAATCTTTCATAGAGATACATGACCCCTACTTTTATCATCAGTTTATATCAGTTTTATCACAACTCTTTAAAATAAGATAGGGATTTGTTCTCTAAAATGGGTCTAGCTATGTTTTGTAGCTTTATGAAAATGTCAGTTTTATATAGAATATAAAGGGAATATTATTTAGCGGTATATGGCCTCGTCTGGCGTCGGCGTACGAGATGCGAAGCGAGACGCGAGATTCCAGCGGGAGACACGATATTGTATCGTTCAAATATCGCCCGATTACTGTGTTCCGTTAGGACATAAGTAACATTTTTGTCTCTCTGAACCGCGATGCACGATGTTACAATGGTGAAAACACGGTGGCAAGATGTTGAAACAACGACGACACGATGGTAAAATCACGATGATGCGATGACACGATGGTGAAATCACGATGATGCGATGACACGATGGTGAAATCACGATGATGCGATGGCACGTTGGTGAAATAATATTGCGTTTTCATCATCATGTCATCGCAGTTTCATCATCGTACCATCGAATTTTCACCATCGTAAAATCATGTTTTAACCATCGTACCATCACGTTTTCATAATCGTGCCTTGATTGTTCACCATCGTACCATCGTGTCATCGCGTTTTCAACATTGTACCATAGGAACACTATAGCTTTATGGTTTAAGATTTCATAATAAAGCATTAGCAAACCTATTGATGATTACACTTGACATGAGGTAAAACAGCGAATTTCGATTCTAAAAAATAATCTGCCGTTGGAAAATATCTGATAAAAATACATAAAAAATGGCATGACAAAACTGAGCTTTCTTGTCCCTTGAAAAACATGATTATCGGAACACATTGTCACACAAATGTGCCTTTTTTGGGGGGGATGGGTGGGGGTAGACATTTGAAGTCTCAATTGTCTCATTTTGGACAAATGCGACCGCATCAGCCTTTCGTCAAACAAATATGCTCCGTGATCATACAAAATTCTCTTCTTCGATTATATAATATGAAAAATTCCCTTCTCAGCGACAGTGTTTTAGAGATTTTTGACTTATAATCTTATATTTAAAAGACGTTGCATTTCAAGCCACTAATGTAAATAAAATTGATTGTTTTAATTTCTACTTACAAAATACCATGCAACGCATTAATGTCTCAGCGACATTTACCCATACTAGCCGCTTATTCCTCTGTAACAATTCTGCAGATAAAAATCAATATTTCAATGATGATTTTTATTTCTTTTTTCTTTTTTGTAAAGTACACAATTACCATTATGTCAATGTTTATTATTAAACAATAAACATTCAAACATCATGATATTGATATAATTCAACAATTTTTATATTTTGGAGAAATCATATCCGAGAAATTAGCCAAGTTTGAAAAACATTATGATGAATGAATTATTTATAAAAATTGTTTTCCAGCAGTATATTTTGTGTTTTATCAATAAGACAAGAATAAGCATTTTACATGATCATCATCTGTGCCTTTTATCAAAATAAAGTATATTTCATACCGACTGAACTATCTGTCCCAGACCAATGGCCATGTACACATGTGAGGATCTGATCACCATCAACAATGCACCCCCCTTTATGTCTAACCGTGTGTCCATCCTCTTCTACTCCAGAGCAGTCATTCGGGTTAAAAGATTCAATTTCTTTGATATAGCATTTCTTTTCGCTCAATTCGGGCTGAATTTTCTGCTGAGTAAAGAAACATTAAACGTTACTTAAAGCCAACAAAAACAGATTACTGTAAAAGAAGAGAGTTTCTTTAACACTCGTCTTTCATTCTTATCCTTTTCATTATGTAAAACTTTTTTGTTTGCTGATTACTTGTATGTACTTTAGGGAACCAACTGTATAAGTGAAAGATATCTAAGGAAATGCAGTTATTAATCAATCAAAATTAATCAATGATTTGTCGTGTGAGCTGGATTGGTTGCCATTTGTTTAAAGTATGGATTCATTCATTCATTCATTCATTCATTCATTCATTCATTCATTCATTCATTCTTATACTTAATATGTCATAAAAATAATTCAAATATAACTATCAAACACTTACTGTGTTTTGAGAAGAAAAATCAACTCCAAAGCCCAGGAGAAAAACAATTAAAACACAATCATGTATCTCCATCACCGTAACTTCACAAAAAATATCTCGTATTTAAGATAAAAGGAAGAACTGCGCATTTCGGTTAATTATTACTTTCAGTTTCAGTAACTTGTTAAGTGGGCGGATGCGTGATATCTATATATATACACACAATATGTACGGACAGAATGCATTGGCCTATTATTCAGACATAAATTTTAACTTCAAAATACATAAACAACTTGACATCTTGATGATGCATAATGGGTGCAAATTCCACCAACATGCAAAACTTAAGTACTTACACGGAAACTAATTTTGTAGGCCTCGAAGTGTCATATTTAAAAAAAAAATTGGCTTTTGAAAAGAAATGTCATTCTTTTTTTTATCGAAGTCGGGTCGGGCCTCTTGCAGGAAAAGAATGTACATGTATGTGTGTTATTATTAAGGTAAGATCCCTGTTATGGAATCGGCGTTTTCCGTGCTATGTCGGCATTCTACGTAACTTATCGACACATCCGTTACCTCTCGCCCGTTTCCGTAAACAGATTTATTTTTTATTTCTAAATGAATAAATTATCCGTATATTTATATCCAGTACAAATAGAATTTTAGTTTTTGATAAAATGAAAACGAAATTATCAAAAAGAATATGTTGTTCGTAAACGGATAATTCGTAAAAACCCCGTTGCTGGGAAAGCCCTAAATGACGTCACGATTTCAGAAAATAGAACGCAGATGTGAATACAAGGCCAAAAACAAAAACCTAATATTCTTGTGGATCATAATTATCCTCACGTATTGAGCACTTGTAAGTGCAAAATTGGTAATTGTCCAATTAGAAGGGATCGGCAGGTGGGTGGAGAAAAGGTAGACGGGTGATTGAGTTTGACGTTTTAGTTAGAAATTTAGCTCACTGCACTTCCAATTTTGCAGCAGTGTCGGCTTTTTATGATGTTTGTATGCAGTTAAAATATTGCCCTATCATTGGCTCCAACGCCCTTTATATAGATCTTTTCATATATCCTGAGAACTACAGCCGTTTTTTGCATGCCATTGCATAGACATCCTTGTAACACCGCACTTTGGGGTCAAACGTACTTTGGGGTCCGACCCCAAAGTGCGTTACACTTCGCATCGCACTTTGGGGTCCAACGCACTTTGGGGTCAAAATCGAGAAATTGTAAACATGCTATGTAACACCGCACTTTAGGGTCTAACGCACTTTTGGGTCAGATTTAGACCCCAGGCTGTGTAACGCAGGTACATACCCAATTTTAAACATCAGACACACGGCCACACTTTGGGTTCATAAGAATTACATCAATAACATGAATTTCAGAGAGAGTTAAAAGTAATATCTTGCAGTTTACTAAAGATATGGAATGAAGTAGGCGAATGTCAAAAGTAGAGGATAGTTTATTTTATTTGTTATATCTAGGGGTTGCAATTTAAAATTGATTATAATTTCTATATTCAATGTCTCATAGAAGTAAAATATATATATATGTTTGTTGTGTATTGTGTCTAATAAAACATTTTCTTGCATATCTGGCATGATTATTTACAGCTTACACTGGTGCTAGAAAAGCAGTCTAACGCACCCTGTGTGAGACAAGTCTAGTGCTTTAAATGACATTTAAGGCCTCATTACCGCCGTAATTACCCCGGTCTGTACCAGCAGCCTGAGTAAGATTCTTTCATGAGATGGCAACCAAAATACTTATTCAAAGGCATTTGATCGAGAGAGCATGGTAATTCCATGAGTATGTTAACTTTTTTACAAACTATAATATTTCTTTTACTTTTTATATTTTCGACAATGTATATTATTTTACCTTTTTCATTAGCGATGTCGTGTGGTCCACATAATTATGAATATCTGGGCTTTAATCGAAGTAAAAGCTCTAGCCCTCACGCAACTTTACTATGAGAATTGTTACCCCTAACCCCTACTTGTGGCAAGTCATTTACACATAATTTGAATTGTTTGAACATAAGATACAAAGAAATCACTTTATCACATCCCTATCATATTATATTTAGGGTTCAATATAACACCAAACCTTATCTATTAAATGACTGACACCACAGATATCTGTTATTTTCAAGAAAATATTTTCAATTTAAAAAATAAAGCGGGACACAATTGTTGTGCTATTAAAAGTTGTAAATGAATTCCTGAAAATAACAGATTTTTCGAAAAATATTCGGAATGACTGCTACTGGAAAATTTAAAAGTAATATTGTTTGATTGCGTATTGATGTATCGACCGTCAACTGAAATATGTCAAGGTTGCAGATCAAAAATAATTCAGTTCTCAGTATTGCAGGGGTATTCAATTTGCACCTTCAGAACTTTGGAATCCAAAGTGCGTTGATATGTATCATATTAAGGCACTTTGGGGTTCATTTCTCGATTTTGACCCCAAAGTGCGTCTGACCCCAAAATGCGGTGTTACAACGCAGAAACACGTTTTAGTAGTACAACTCGTATTTTCAATGTAATCGACTTTGCTTTTATACAAGTTTTTTGTTGTTGTTATTGTTGTTGTTGTTTTAATGAATATAACGGTATTTAGACTTTCTCCTTGATCACGATCATATGACATCCGGTATTTTGCTATGTATATGTTTTAATGTTTGGAGTGCATCCAAATTTAGACAATCAATATGGAATCTGTATAGGAACTCAATGCGTTTTTGCACGCACCATGATCGTTGTAAATATATCATTATGAGTAAATTCCCCCGTAATGCGCCCCTGTCCGAACTATATATAGGAAACTTAACCTTTGGGTTTTAAATGACAGACATCCGTTTATTTATCTTTTCATATATTCAAGTAATGACGAAAATTATATTAAATCATCTTATGAAAGCAACTTTAACCTCATTTAAGTTATATTCTCTTCCATTCTTTGGCTTAAATATTAATAACTATTATCATACAACAAAATCAGTTCAAAAGAACAAATAAAAATAAACACGACACATACGTTTAACTATTTTTTATTATAGTTGGCATAAATTTCCGTCATAACTAGTCATTAAGTGACCTAAAAATAATATAGTGTAAACCTTTTAGAAAAAAATATGTATAAGATATTTCAAGTCTACTTCCTGTTATCTCATGAAAGGTACAAGTTAAATTATATTGGCTCCCTGATGAGAAGTAAAACGTTGAATTGTATAGGCTCGCAAGACAGGGTACACATTGAATTGTATAGGCTCGCAAGACATGATACACATTGAATTGTATAGGCTCCCAAGACAGGGTACACATTGAACTGTATAGGCTCGCAAGACAGGGTACACATTGAATTGTATAGGCTCGCAAGACAGCGTACACATTGAATTGTATAGGCTCGCAAGACAGGGTACATATTAAATTGCATAGGCTCGCAAGACAGGGTACACATTGAATTGTATAGACTCGCAAGACAGCGTACACATTGAATTGTATGGGCTCACAAGACAGGGTACATATTAAATTGTATAGGCTCGCATGACAGGGTACACATTGAATTGTATAGGTTCGCAAGACAGGGTACACATTGAATTGAATAGACTCGAACGAAATAGTAAACATTGAATTGTATAGGCTCCCAAGACAGGGTACACATTGAACTGTATAGGCTCGCAAGACAGGGTACCCATTGAATTGTATAGGCTCACAAGACAGCGTACACATTGAATTGTATAGGCTCGCAAACAGGGTACACATTGAATTGTATAGGCTCACAAGACAGCGTACACATTGAATTGTATAGGCTTGCAAGACAACGTACATATTAAATTGCATAGGCTCGCGAGACAGCGTACACATTTAATTGTATAGACTCGCAAGACAGCGTACACATTGAATTGTATAGGCTCACAAGACAGGGTACACATTGAATTGTATAGGCTCGCAATGAAAATTACAATATTCTAATGGTACATTAACATTTACATTTATTAATATGTTTTCATAGAAATACACTTTTATCATATATTTGTAACCTAAAAATGCTCTAAATAAAATGGTTCAGCTATGTTCCATTTATTCTGATTATAATATCCTTCAACACAGAAGAACAAAAATGATTTGTTTTTTAAAGTAAAATCAATATTTTAAATGATTGTGTTTGCAAATCTCATCAGACATCGTCATCTTAAACTGTGTCGAGAAAACATAACATATTTATCACATGTATTTTTAATTTTTTGTAATAAAATGAATAATTGAAGCTATTGACTGTCAGAGAAAAACATCTGAAAGTAGTCACTAAATATAAATATGAATTTTGACTCCGCACACTTTCATATTCATTTTTAATTATCTATAACATACCGTACGTGTAAGTACGTACGGTGGCATGAAAGTGACATTTGCAAGTTTATGTTTTGTTTAGTTTTTGATACTTATTTTTTATTTTTTTTTTTTGTTTTTCGTACATGTTTTTTTTAGTTTTGCATACGTATTTTATTTTAGTTTTGATTACATATTTTTTTTTAGGTTTGCATACATATTTTATTTTAGTTTTGAGAAAATATTGTTTTAGCTTTGCATACATATTTTTAGCCAATCAAAACAGCCTTCACATCTCATAACAGCCCATAGTTGAGAATAAAACACGGTTACAATTATAGCACGGTGGTTTGGTCACATTTCAGCCCATTTTTTGAATCGGTCTAGTCGTTTTCGGCCGGGCAAGTCTGGTTTCGGCAGAAAGGCCGACCTTTTTCGGCCCACTTATTTAATTATAATTATGTATTTTACATAATTATTTTTTTTTATTATTATATACAATTATATATTAGTGTCTATTTGGAAAGGGTTGTTGATTGGTGATCTGTTATTATTCCATGAATATGCACCAGTCAATCCCACATCCTGAGAATAGATGGGGGGGGGTGGGCATTGACTTTTAACCAAGCCGACCTCTGGTACAATATTCGCCCTGCGGGGATACTCCGATAATAACATTCCTGCCTTATGCCCCGGAACAGCGCAAACGTCAAAACTTTAACCCGCACTCCCAAAGGGCGAGGGAGGTGGTTAAAAATGACTGGTGTATTACAATAATGCACAATAAAATATCTAAATAGGTCCTTATAATCGGGGTCACACATACAGGTAAAAGAATTGTGAATTTGCAGTTGGTATAGTAATTTTTAGTGTTTGATGATCAGAAGATTTTTTCCTTCTGAAAATCATGGACTTGAATAATTCAAATCTGTGTGAAAGCGCAAAGAGAAAGAGACTGAAAATTAATTTATTATTTCTTTGGACAATATAGAGGTTATAAATTTGTAATCAAACATGTGGGTCAATTTTCAGCAGTAGTTGAATCATGACAAAGTATTTTTAATAATTTTATTTAACTTCTGGCTACTTGAAAATTTCATGCTGGATGTTTGCTTACCATTACTTTTTGCATAAGAGCTCTATGATTGACATTAAAGTCCACGGGCCAATTCATTTCTGATATATCTATAATCTTTCCGATATCTTGTTATAATATAAATGACTGAACATCATTTTAGAATTATTTAAGGAAGAAATACATATGTTCATTCTTTGTAAAAATGTTAGAAGACTTGCAAGTTACCGACTTAATCATTGCATTTATTTATTATTGAAAAAATGCTGAACAGCTAGTCTCAACAGTGTTATAGGCTAGAATTTTCAGTTTGCATTAGGGCCAAAATATATTGTTAGTCATGACGGCTTTCCTATTGCTGTCAAAAAACTTTAACCTTGTTCATAACTTTTTCAGATCTTGGTGTATTGTCTTCATACATGGCCACAACAACCCTTCAAATAGACCAGACTAAACTTAATTAACTTGACCACCATATTAACATTCAAGGTAAATGTCTAAATTTTCTTGATTTTTGCTATTAGTAGCCTTAACTTTGTTATTTTTGAATGCTTGAACAACAATATTTCAGGATAGGACCTGACTCACACTTAAATGTCCTTGAAGCTTTTGTGATCAGAAGTTGTACAGAATAATACAAACCCAGAACAATTTCATTTACTTGGTTTTGCAACTTCTGAGACAATGGATTTTAAAGATTATAGTTGTTTTCTTGAAATTTCAGGACAGTATAGTAGATAGTAAAGACATTTAATACATACTGTATATACACTATAATTACTTTAGTGTCCAACTTTATTTGTCATCCAATGAAAACGCTGTATCTCTTAAAAATTGTGTGCGTTAATTTTCATAGAAGTACAAAAGTCAATACTATATCGAATTACCTCCATAGTCGACTTCTATTTTTCGTGGTACTTCATAAAACTGCATAGTGACGTAATAAAGTGAATGATAATGAGGCCAAATAAAGTTTGACGCTAACTATGGTAGTATTCATCCGTGCTGTTCTACAGAAATTAGAAACACTCTCCTGTCGCTATCCCTCCCGTCGAAGTTTCTTATTTCTGTAGAACAGCACGGATGAACACTAACATATACATAGTATACTATAAAAATCTTTATGCTTGGTCAATTTTGAACAAATTGTCTCTTAAACAGTGTAAGAAATTAGGATTTGAATCGACTTGGCTGGTCGGACTATTAGATTGAAATATTTACTTGCCCAAAAGACATTTCACTAGCACGATTCCTTTGTTCAAAACAGTTGTTTATATTGCCTCTGAAAATACAGTAGCCTGGTCAGGCTTGTTACTGTAAAAAGTTGGTAGCCCGAGGAGAAATTTAGTAGTCGGGCTCTGAGACTACTGCTAATTTCGAACATTAGCTGCTTAAAATATTGATTTGATATCAACTAACATAATAATTGGGATACTATATGTATATCTAATAATAATTATATTTTATTTTTCAGAAGTTCGGCCTACATGTCAGATTTATGAATGTGAACAGCAGGATATCGATTTTAAGGATACTTTAGGGTCAATGACAATGAAATCATGAGAGATAAAGGCTAAAATGTGAGACTGTCAATCTGACTAACCTTGAAGTGAATAAATGGAAAAATGTTTCTTTCAATAGCATGGGCATTTAAGGAAGAGGTACATGATTATTTAGAAGTATTTGTATATGATATTTCTTAATTATTATTTTCTAATAGCTTTTTTTTCTTGACTTGTTTTAAAAGGCTGACACAGGACAGTTTATTTTAAGTCAGTGAGCTTCTGTCACTGGATAGACTATTGTCACAAAAAGCCAAATTTATAAAAAAAGAATTAGTGTATTTAAATATCTTATACAAGAAATTAGGAACAAAATTAATAGCAAGAACAATTGTGACATGTAACATGTATTAAGGAATTCAGCTTTCCTTTCCTTTTCACCTCAGGACAATTCACATTAAAATATTGAATATTCACAGTAAGCAGTGTTAGCACTCCAACATATCTGACATATATGATCATCTTATCATCACTTAGCCAGAATCACTCACATTTATGAATTTGAATAATTTTGAAAAATTGCTGCTAAGCAAATAGATAAAATACCCGGGGTGTCTGTGACTGATTGTTTTAGTTTCTTGACTCCTTTCACTGCTGTAAGTTCAAGCTCAGCATTTTTTCATGTGAGAAAGCTCATTTATGGAACATTGATGGTATCCATGTGTCTGAAATTATACACATAGGTGCACCAAGGTCTTCCTCAACCAGTAAAGCTGGAAGGAAATTGTGCTGAAAATCCCCCCCCAAAAAAAAAATTACAAAAAAAGTGGAATTTTAATTTAATTTTGCAATTAACTTTTTCTAAACAAATATTTCAGGAAACAGAGGCGCTTATATGATAGAACAGATAAAGCAGGAGCGATAAGGAAAGATACATGTAGATGTGTCTTCATGTCGGAAACACTTAAGAAATAGAAAAATTGTGGTTTTATAAAACTTAAAAGAAATTGGAATACCAGGAGACTGCATGTCCTTTGCAATGTTGGATAATGAGTTCTTAGATGTGATGTCGAAAGCCTCATGAATATAGTACCATGACTTAATCAAATTAGAAAAAGAAATGACATTGAGGAGAAAACTAGTCACCAGTCTTTCACCAATAACTAGTGATAACTTTCCAATATTTGAAATATCATAATATGTATAGAACTTTAATGAGCCACCAGTTTTTCACCAGGAAAATAAGATCACTTAACTATTTTTAGCTCACCTGTCACAAAGTTATAGGGTGAGCTTTTTTGATCACTTTTCGTCCGGCGTCCGTCCGTAAACTTTTACTTTAAAGGAAATCTCCTCATAAACCACTAAGTTAATTTCATCCAAACTTTACAGGAATGTTCCTTTGGTGGTCACCTTTAAATATTGTTCATAGACTTTAATTTCATGCAGAAAGCTGGTTGCCATGACAACCAAAAGAAAATGGCTTAAAGTATCTTCTTTTAAAGAACTCAAAGAGCTAGAGCTTAGACAAAGTATCTTCTTTTAAAGAACCCAAAGAGCTAGAGCTTAGACATTTGGCATGAAACATCTTCTAGTGAGTGTCTACCAAGTTTGTTCAAATAAAAGCCCTGGGGTCAAAATTGGCCCGGCCCCAAGGGGTCATTGATTTTCCCTATATGCATATAGTAAAAACTTAAAACCTTCTTTGAAAAAACCCAAATAGCTAGAGTTTAGATATTAAGCATGAAACATATTCTGGTAAGTGTGTACAAAGTTTGTTCAAATAAAAGCCCTGGGGTCAAAACTGGCCCCGCCCCAGGGGTTTCATTGTTTTTAACTATATGTGTATGGTAAAAACTTAAAAAATCTTCTTTTAAAAAACCCAATGAGCTAGATCCTAGATGTTTAGCATGAAACATCTTCTTATTGTGTCTACCAAGTTTGGTCAAATTTAAGCCCTTGGATAAAAATTGGCCAAGCCGGGGATGGGTGGTGGTGCAGAGGTCTTTGTTTTACATTATATGTGTGTAGTAAAAACTTAACATCATGAAACATCTTCTAATGGGTGTCATACAAGTTTGTTCAAATAAAAGCCCTGGGGTTTAAACTGGTCCCGCTCCAGGGGCCTATATACACATGGCCCTCTTGTTGAAATATGTATGAACAAATCTTTATCAACTTCAAGGTTTTATTGAAGGAATTTGAATTACTTGGCACAAATGATTGTTATTATAAGACGATGAGTCATGTGCAACAACCAGACCCCTACCTCCAGGGTCAAGGTCGCACTTGCTCATTCAAGGTCAACATTGTCTATTTGAGAGTATATCTCGTGTCTGGTCTATAACTTTCTTATCTTGAAGGGATTTTGTAAATACTTGCCATAATTGCTCAAAATAATGAGAAGATGTGTCATGCGCAACAACAGGTCACCTGCCTCCAAGGTCAAGGTCACACTTGGAGGCCAAATATTAACATAGCTTGTTACAGGGTATATTTTGTGTTTGGTCCATAACTTTGTCATTTATTGAAGGAATTTGAAATAACTTGGCACACTTACCTCCAGGGTCAAGGTCACACTTGCTCATTCAAGGTCAACATTGTCTATTTGAGGGTATATCTCGTGTCCAGTCTATACCTTTCTTATCTTGAAGGGATTTTGTAAATACTTGCCACAGTTGTTCACAACAATGAGATGATGTGTCATGCGCAACAATCGGTCACCAACCTACAAGGTCAAGGTCACACTTGGAGGTCTAGAATAACATAGCCTGTTATAGGGTATTTTTTTGTTCGGTCCATAACTTTTTCCTATATCAAAGGATTTTGAAAACACTTGGCACAAATATTCACTATAATAAGACAATGTGTCATGCGCAACACCTGCATCCCTACCTCCAAGGTCAGGGTCACATTTCGAGGTAAAAAATTAACATAGTCTTTTAAAGGGTATATATTGTGTCCAATGTAGAACTTCTTCATAGTTCAAGGAATTTTGAAATAACATGGCACAAATAGTCACAATAATAAGACTATATGTCAAGTACAACACCTGCACCCCTGCCTCCAAGGTCAAGGTCACACTTAGAGTATAAAGGTAACAAAGTCTGTTATATGGTATATTTTATGCACCGTCCATAACTTCTTCATAGATGAAGGGATTTTGAAAATACTTGGCACAAATAGTTACAATGATAAGATGATATGTCATGCACAACACCTGCACCCCTACCTCCAAGATCAAGGTCACACTTAGAGGTCAAAGCAGGGATTTTTTCCAGGATTTTGGGAACATAACCCATACCCTTCGAACTGGGAATTTCAGCAATATTTTGTTAAAAATTGGGAAAAAATACATGACTGAAATTTTGCAGTGATTAAATGTATGCAAGCAATCACTGCCTAGGATGGCTTCTTCAAACATTTAAACACTATAACAGTGAAGAAGCCCTTATTTGCAAAGATTTTAGAATTCTTTATTCAATATCTATCTTTTGTAACTTTCAATTGGGAATATTTTCCTGTGGATTGGGAAAATAATATACTATTTTCAATTGGGAATATGTCCCAATAACGGCTATAAAATAAGCCAAAAAATCCCTGCAAAGCTTAACATGATAGATTTTGAAATTCAGTATTTCATTTTATTTCTTTAATAAATTTATTGTTGCATTTGCAGATCTAGCATTTATCATAATTTTGGACTGAAAATCCTTAGATCCCTGGCTCAATCTTTTGAAATAGCACAATTTTGTGTTTCATATAAAACATCCCTGAGGCAGGGGACGTTAGTAACTCTGTGGATCAAAAGTCAAATAATAAATTAAAACATGAGAGTATATTTCTATATACATGGCTGGATTTTCATAACATTTATCACAAATCATGAAATGTTCACTTATGTATACATCTTTTTCCCCAATCTGAAGCTTTAAGGTTCAGTTCTGAATAAAGGCAACAGGCTCGATATGCTGCCAGTGGGCTTGTCTAATTATGTACATATTTTGATTACCCACTCAATATAAGCATTGTTCTTAACGCAGGCATTCAAGTCCTGTGGGCACATTTCTACTTTTGACTATATTTTGTTGTATAATATCAGTCTTGTATGTAAAAAATCCTTAAAACAGCACCTCCTATGCCACTGGCCGTTTGCATTAAAGCTTCTTTCATTCAGATTGTTATAACTTGTGTCACCTCAATATGTACCAATAATTTAAAAGGACTCACTCCATTGAGGTTTAAAAAGCCTAAAACATAACATTTGAATTTCTACAGAAATGAGCCGGGGCACTTGATACAGAAATATATGCACAGATAGTGAAGAAATATACTTTGAAATAAATTGAAAATCGATTTTTTATGCTTTTCTCAGCCTGATCTGCGTGAAATGTGTTTAAACGCTTTTATTTTGGGTCATTTTTTTACAATTTGAATAATTATTTTTGAAAAACGAAGTGCGCAAATGATCTGAAATTTTTCTCAAAGATAAGTGGTCAAAATGTACATCAAGTGGTACATTAATCTAGAAAATAAATTTCAGTCTCATCATGTCAAAAAACCTCAGTGGAGTTCCTTTTACACAGTTTATCTGACAAACTAATTTCATTATCTCCATATATTTAAGCATTTATTTTTTATATCACATATATTTTTACTTTTATGCAAGTTTTGACAATAAAAGTTTACTTTAAATCATTGTTCTTTGTTTTGCTATGACTTTAACAGCATGTACATCAATTTCATACTAAAAACAATTAGTCATGTTTGAACTTACACATGTAAGCACATGATGAGCTTTTCTTGTCCTTGAGTTTAAAATAAAAAGTCTCTTCATTAACTATGATTAAATAATGCTTTTGGCATGGTCTTGAATTCCTATGAAGTAGTTATATAAGTCATGGCCGATTTAGGTCAAACTGGGTGGTTCTTTGTGTTCATAATGCAGTAGTATTATCTATTAATTCACTTATTAGAAACAGAATTGCCTATGATTTCAACTGATTATCTGAGTGTCACAACTTATGGGTTTAAGGGCCCTGGGCCAAGAACTAGTTATCAGCCCACTGAACATGAGTAGTGCAAAAACAGAAACAATGACGTCACATTTTGTGTCATCAAATCAGCAAGCTGTAGATTGAAGCTTGCACATATTCCTTTGTTTTTAATTCACACACAGACGCGGCATAATTTTTAAAAGTAAACTCGCACCAGTCACGTATATTGTTTTTATATAAACAGTTATAGAATATGACCCTTTCCGTCTGTAAACTTGAAAAAAAAAAAAGAAAAGAAAATAAAGTACAAAAGTTCTTACATCATATTAATTTTAATAGAGTTATTTATTCGGGTCACAGACACTTGGGGTTTGGAGCTCAAAACGCCTTTAAAATCCAAATAAAATGCATATTTGTCAATCCCAGGACATGTTCTGATCATATATATCAAAAAATCTTAATATATGCCGTTTTGAAAAAAAATCATATTTCAACAACTATAATAATACACAAGATAAAAATGTTCGCCGGAAAAAATCCGCACCCCTACCGTCATAATCACCATGTATTTTATTCCATTTCCTATATTTTCACATAATGCTTTGGTCCATCGACACAGAAGATATAATTCTTCACGATGATGGTCAATTTTAAACTTCAACGGTAATATAAACAACGCAACAGCCGAAATAAACATCAATATTATCGCCGTTTTTTTCCAACGACAAAATCTTTCGATAAATTCAATGGACCAGACGGCTATGAACGAAGCTATCCGATTATGTGGTTCCCAAACTTAAAAGCGCTGCGCATTTTGCACACGGCAAAGCTGGGGCCACATAATCGGATAGCTTCGTTCATAGCCGTCTGGTCCATTGAATTTATCGAAACATTTTGTCGTTGAAAAAAAACGGCGATAATATTGATGTTTATTTCCGCTGTTGCGTTGTTTATATTACCGTTGAAGTTTAAAATTGACCATCATCGTGAAGAATTATATCTTCTGTGTCGATGGACCAAAGGATTATGTGAAAATATTGGAAATGGATGAAAATACATGGTGATTATGACGGTAGGGGTGCGGATTTTTTCCGGCGAACATTTTTATCTTGTGTATTATTATAGATGTTGAAATATGAAATTTTTTCAAAACGGCTTATATTAAGTTTTTTTGATATATATGATCAGTACATGTGCTGGGATTGACAAATATGCATTTTATTTGGATTTTAAAGGCGTTTTGAGCTCCAAACCCCAAATGTCTGTGATTCGGGTAGGTAGGTGATCATAATACAATAAATCTGTCAATCTCTTTCAAAAGACCCTTGAACCCAGTGATTTTACTGTTTTGTCAAAGTTTGGGCAAAGAAAGTTTACGTCTGTCAAAAACTGCAATTGCATTTTACGACACGTTTATTATTTTTCTTTTAGTGGATAATCGGTTTGGTTTTTGTACCGCATGCAAACGGATAAATCTGCACAACAAAAAAAACCCCACCTAAATCGCTTGAACTGATTCAGCCAATTGAAAATTTAAATACTTAAACTTTTATTGCACTAGATGCCCCCAATGAATGATGCAATCAATGTAACGTAAGAAGAAGTTAAACATGAAAAAGTGAATATAGATGCAGTTCAATTGAAATACGTTACATGAGCCGTGACATGACATTTCCAACAACGTGGACGTACTCGTACAAACGT